TAGTAAAATATAAGGATAAACAAACCAAAAAATATATAAGAGTGCAAATACCATAAAAAATAAAATAAACAAAACCCGCGGGCGGGCCAATTTGGCCCGCGGGCTAATGCGAGCGGGCCACGGGCTATGTATTTTTCAGCCCGTAGAAATGCAGGCCATTTTAGCCCGCCCCGTTTGGAACGCGGGCCAGTGCGGGCCGGAGCGGGCCGAGCCGGACCGGCCCGTTTGACAGTGCTACGAACTGCTTTTTTATTGAGCGTGTAGTCCCGCCATATTGTGCATTTTACGAAGTATTGTTGTGCATAACTAAATTTTTTATAAATTAAAGTTTTACCCAGGACCCAAGTTGCATTATACTAAAAATTTTAAAATTACAAATAAGTCCCTTATTCTTATCTAATTTTTGAAAAAAACATCCCCAAAAATCCTCTCTCAAAGTCGAACAACACAAACATAACCTCTTCTCCTCGGACCTAACTGTCGCCGCCGCAATGTGAGCAGATGAAGGCTGTGTCGCCAGCCTACCCAGGAACAATTTTACCGCGTACACTGAGGGTAATTTTTTTGTCGGTCCCGCAACTCGCCGTCCTCACCAGAGTCGGCCTGTTAGCAGTGAAGATCATTGGATGTCGTACGATGGAATGGAGGCCGATTGCTTCTCAACGTCTTGCGGCAGAGTGGATACCAATTTCACATCCTCGAAGCGACAGTATTGGCCGTCTCTAGTGCGCGGACGGCTGAGGCACGACAGATGGTGATGGCAGTCGGCAAAGGGTGGCGGCGCAGGGACGGTGGTCGGAGGGTGGCGGCGCAGGGATGATAGTAGAAGGGTGGTGGCGCCGGGATTGTGTGTGTTTTGTGCATGTTGTTTATGTGTTGAATTGTATGTTTGTGTGTGAATTCATAGTGTGTGGGAGAGTGTGAGAGATGTGTGTCAGGTGAGTGGGGTGGGTGTGTGAGCGACGTGTATTAGCCATTAGGTGAGGGTGGTGGTGGGTCCCACAGTTGGATATTGTGTCTAATGTCAAATATACCCTTAACGAGATGTCAAAATTATATGTTTGACTATTATTTAGTAATGTTTGACTTCATCATGTTCATTAATATGCTAAATCCAATAGTACATATTCATTCTTATATTGATTTGTCACTTGTGACTCGTGTTATTACTTATTATAGCTTGTAAGCGCTCGATAGGCGGCGGACAAGTCCTAGTGCCTATGGTGTCTAGGTGAGGAATAGGGGGTGCCTAAGTGAGTTCGAAAAAATATTAATAAACTTATTTTTTTTTTATCATGCATAATTTATAGTTCATAAGATATATTAAATAAAAAATATTTATTATCATGATTGTACAAAGATTATACAAATCTAATGCATTTATAATAATTATTATTATTGTGCTAATAAAATTATTATTACTGCAGTATTACTACGCCTAACTAGACTCGAAACCCATAGACCCAATCCCTCTCCCATGTAGACGATCCCCGAACCAAAAACTGGAGGCCAACCACAAACTCCAACCCCCACACTAACCTGCAGCCACAAGCCGACAACTGATCGGAGCCAACCCGTATCCACTAGCGAGACCCACCACCCAACACCATGGAAGACGAGAAAAATGGGATGGGGTCGAGGGGAGAACTGAGAAGAAACCAACCTTGACTCCGACCACCACAAGGCGGTAATCGAAGCTAGCCGCCGGAACCGCTCTCGAACACGGCGAAGCCAACCACTTGCATGTTGAGATGCTACCTGGCTGAGAGGACCACATAGCGACGGAAGTCAGGGAGCACGACCCGGTGGAGGGCGGCAACATGGCAGTGCGGAACGCCCCACTGAAGAGAAGACTGAGGAAATCGCAAAACTAGGGTTTACTGTTCACAGCCGCGGAGAGAAATTGGGAGAGAGAAAAAGATTCTTCTAAATCTCTTGACCTCACTAATTGTGAATAATGCTTTTCACCTTAGATTTCTGTGGCATCAAAACATATAATGTGGCTTGATTGCTAAGAAATTATATATGGATGTAAAAAAGTAGATGGGTTTATTGTCCAACCATATCTTATAGCAATAAAGAGGTAGGCTTCAACGAGTTTGGTTAATTCTTCCATATACATTTATCGATTTAAATTTTCATTTGACTTGCTTTATATGTGATCATTATTTACTCGAATTATTTGATCATATTAATAAATACTCATTTGATTCTACTATCAAATTCTTTCAGGCTTATTTCCTTTCTTTAATTTAAAAAGTAAATTAAACAAAAGGACAAATTCCTCAATTCAATCAACCACATTATACAAACGAAGTATACAGTAAAATTAATACACGACGCAAACTAAAACAGATTTATCAACAAACGACCATAAATAAATCCACAAGAAAAGCACAGAATTATATATTTGTTATAGGGTGTGAGGTCTACTTGGGGATCCTCTTGGACAGGGCCCGAACAGAGATTATAATGAGCAAAGTGAGCACGACAGAGCCGAACAAGGAAACGGCTATAGAGGCGCCAACGTGCCTACAAAAGCCGTCGTATAAGTCACAAATCTTTCGCCATTGAACGTTAGAGTTTCCCTTCAAACCGATGTACCCAACTGTACCTGCTGCTCCTGTTGCGGATGCCATTATTCCCAACAATAGCTGCACCAATTCATACTCAATTCATTAAATATTGCGTTCTTTCGAAATTTTTATTAACTAAATTCGAGGATTTGAATTTCGGTAACCAACTTACAAAAACTACGCGTAGGTTCAATTTATATTATAAAAGATAGAGTAAACTTTACACCAGATTAGAGATATAAGAGTCGTTTGATTAGTATATACACCGGTACACATATTCACTTTTGTAATGTACGTGATCCGTTTCGAATCATTTAATTTATACATATACATATTCACATCGAAAAAAGAAAATCGAATTTTGCTTCAATAAATTTTTGAATTGAGAGAGGTCACCACATCGAAGATGACAAAATGAGATACTGCTTTAATATAAAAGCCGGGCTTGAGGAGGGCGAAAAAGGACACGATGGTGGTTATGGCGGCGTATACGCCGGCAACTGAGAATGCTGCCACAAAGTATCTGCATCATCAATAATCCATGGTAATCAACTTACACTTAAACTATCAACAAATTCAAACATTTTCTAAATGATGGTGATGATGTTGATAAATTAATAAGTTAATTAATATTTGGGGGCAATTGCAAACAAAAAACTTCATGTACATAAAAAAAAATAAATGCAAACAAAAAAAAAAAACTCTAAATTTAATCAAATGTGAAAATTCTCTTGTAAATAAAGCAACTACAAGACCCAAAGAGTTGGGTTGGGCCCACAACTAAAGGGCAGTTTAGAACTTTCAATCATAGAAAAATATTACAACTGATAAGACATTGAAAGGCAAAAATTTAATTTTAGTCGGTTTACTTGTTTAAAGTTTTTTTTGGTACACCAATTTTCCCCCGATCAATAATAGTACGTTATGTTATAATTTGTATCACTATTGGTACATTATCTCATAAATAGTTTATTATTTTTTTGGGATTAATGTCCTAAAAATGATACAAGTTGCAATATAACGTACTGTTTTTTATAATTAATGTCTCAAAAATGATATAAGTTGTAGCATAACTTACTATTTTTTATGAGAAAAAAGTTAATGGACCCAAAAAGAACTTTAGGCAAGTAAACAAACCAAAATTGAATTTTTTCCGACATTAAAAAGTCAAATATATGTTAAACATGAATTAGTCACAAGTGGTTAATTGACCACAAAACTCATAAATTTCAACAAAAAAGAAACAAAATAGGTTGTATGACGAACACACTAAACATTTTAGCATGCAGAAGAGGAA